ATGTTGGCCCGAGTTTAGTGGCTTTGAGGTAGATGTGGCCACAAGTGGTCGAGGAAATATCAAAAACCTCGATAATAACCCACATGCAACATTTGTGCAACATCCTTTCAATTTTGGTACACTGGTAGTGTCATCTGCCAGAATGTCCTGTAACCTATGCCCTAAGTAAAAAGAAAGAATTCTGGAACGTGTAATACGTGTTTGGCAGGCTGGCTGGCGACTGGCTGGCTGGCTGGCTGATTGGCTGATTGGCTGGCCAGCGTCTGTCTGTCTGTATCTATCATTGTCTATCTTTTTCTCTGTCTGTCTCTATCTCACAGGTACACATAAATACAATTATACATGGTGTAAATTACCTAGGATAACCCAAAATATCCAGACAAAGTGCTTTTACTGTGCTTGTAGATATAAGGCAAGTAATACGCACTTCACTTGATCAGGAATCAGATGTGATGAGTCTGATGACTCTGCATCCTATTGGTTCATAAGCCACTCTCTGAGACAAGAGAGACAAGCAGACAGACAGACAGACACACACACAGGCAGACAGAAAGACAGGCAGACAAAGACAAACACACACAGGTAGACAGACACAGGCAGACAGACAGATAAGCAGACATAGCTAGACAGACAGATAGACATGCTTATGTGTAACAGTGAAAATAAACGAAGACAGGGGTTCCCTGCAGCAATGTACGATCAAGTATCAAACCACTGCTGCACTGTCAGCAGTTTAGTGACACTCAGTCTTGTACCATGCTTCAAGGAGTTTCATATATACTCCAGTGTGTCTAAAACATTGCTGGGACCTATAAATACTGTGTATATATTTCTACACAATAGTAAATGACCAGGGCAGGTAAAAATGTTCACCTGTCAGTGTATTTGTGACTGAGTACAATTCCAGTACCTAAATAAATAAATAACAAAAAGGCACAATACCGTGACTGGAACGATACACAAATAACCCGCACATAAAAGACAGAAGCTTACGACGACGTTTCGGTCCGACTTGGACCCCGCAGTTAAGCGTCATATTCTCTCCAACTTTTTTAATGTTCTTCCCTCTTTTATACCCCTCTTTCGATCTTATGAGGCTGCTCTTATTGCTACCCGTCGTCGTAAGGATCAGCTTCGCTTCCTACGTGACTGTCTTGCTGAACAAGTTCTGCCACCTTCCTTCTCCCACTTCCTGAAAACCAACCCACTGGGCACTCCCTTTCCTGATCATGCCCGTCTCCTACTTCAACAGCTCATTCTTTCTACTAAATCACAGGTTGAAGATGCCTTCTTTACTCTCCGTCAACGTCAACGTGCTCTCTTTGCGGCTCTACCACAGGATCTCTGTAACCTTCTCTCTACCATTGCCTTTGACACTGCTCGCCTGAATGCGCAAATTCATTCTTCCAAACTACTAAACAAACTTAAAACGTCTCATCTCAGCTAGCCCTTGGTCTAAATTCTCCCTCACTGACTGTGTTTACTAATCTGTCTTCTGTCTCACTCTCTCAGTATGAGCTTGAACTTCTTGGTTTTGGTCTTTCCTTTGCCACTTCGCTACTCCTCGCGCTGGTATTTCCCTGATTAGCTCTTTTGATTCCTTTCGTCAATCTCGCTTCCGTAATCTTCCTGACTTGTCCACTTTTCGTGGTGCTCTCCTTCCTGCTCTTGTTAGTCTGTTTTCCAAGAATCACCACCTTCCACGCCGTTACCAACTTGCCCTTTCTTCTCTTAAATCTAACACTAACATTGTCCCTACTATCTTTTTGACAAAGGTAATTCGGTAGTATCCTTGATCGCGAGGATTACCTCCGTAAAGCTGATGTCTTGCTCTCTGACTCACGCACCTACACTCCTCTCGTTTCCAACCTCTTGATCGCATCAAGAGAACTTTCAACAAAAAACTAAGGACTCTCTCCGACCTCTGTTTCCCCTGACTTTGACCTTGTTCAACGGTTTCGTGTCATCTGTCCCTCTCTTCCCTATTTCTATGGCCTTCCCAAAAACTCATAAACCTGATATTTCCTCTTCGTCCTATCATATCTCTTAGAGGTTCTGTCTCTTATTCTCTTGCTTCTTGGCTGGCCAAAACCCTCACTCCCTTTCTTGGTACTTTTTCCCCTGCCCAAAATCCGTCACTCTCAAGACTTCATTGAACGGGTTCGCTCTCTCCCAACCTGTAAGATGCTTAGTCTTGACGTTGAGTCCCTCTTCACCAATGTCCCTCTTGATGATGTCCTTGATTTCCTTAGAGAAGAAGGCCCATGAAGGGTTTCTTCATCTCCCTATCCCCACTGATGTTCTTTCTTGATCTGATCCGCCTCTGTGTGGACTAACTCCTTTTCCTTCCAAGGGGGAAAAATTATTCCCAAACCTTCGGTGTTGCTATGGGCTCTCCTCTCTCTCCTGTCCTTGCTAATCTTTACATGGAATACTTCGAGACTGTTGTTCTTCCCACCCTCGATGTGCAACCTTCACTCTGGCTCTGCTATGTGGATGGACATCTTTGCTCTGTGGGCCTCATGACTCCAGTCTCTTCCAACCTTTTCTTCAAGCTCTTAACAATCTGCCCTTCCATTAAGTTTAAAGCTGAAATGGGAATCTAATTCCTTACTTCCTTTCCTTGATGTCCATGTCTCACCGCTCAGATACAGGTTTTTCCTTTTCCGATTACCGTAAACCTATGCACAGTGGCATGTACATTCACTACTTTTCCTATCATGCTTCCCCTGTCAAGAAAAGTGTTTTATCTCCCTCTTTCTCCGTGCCCTCCGCATCTGTGATCCTCAGTTCCTTCCAGCAGAAATTTCCACTCTTTATAATTCGTTCTCCCGTTTTTGGCTTACCCTTCCCATTTCATAGACTCTGCCCTCTCACGTGCTAAACGCAATTTCTTCTCTCCCAAACTCTCTACTCATGGGAACTCTTCTATCCTCTGCCTTCCCTACATTTCCGGTCTTTCTAATCTCAACAATTCTCTCCGTCCCTTAGACATCAAGCTTACCTTCCGCCAGACTAACACTCTTCGCACTAATCTCGTTCATACCTCTCCTCCTCTACAGATGTTCCTGGTGTCTACTCTATTTCTTGCTCTCCTGTCCTCTTTCAATACTTTGGAGAAACTGGTCGATCTCTTTCTGACAGACTTAGGGAGCACAAAAATAGTGTTAGGCTTGCCGACACTAACAAATGCTCTTTTCTGTCACGTCAGAGATCATAGCCATCCTATTGACTGGTCTTCTGCTAAAAACTGTCTTCCCTACTTCCAACTCGAACAGTCGCCGTTTAGTTGAATCCTCTCTTATACACAACTTTCCTTGTATGAACCTTAGCCTGGCTTCGTCTCTGTAGATGCCTTCCTCTCCCACTACATTGTAAAATGCTCCAAACTTCAGAAACACCCGTGACTTAACCTGAATCCTCATTTTTTTTCTTCTTCTTTTTCTTCTTCCTCTTCCCTTTCCTTCTCCTTTTCTCCTCTGGGTTGTCTTTCTCTCTCCTGTCTCGTGTTTCTGTTCCTTCTTTATTTTATTTCACCACTTCCCCTTTCACGCACCTGGGTGCGCTTGCTCTCCCTCTGTGGGTTTCTGCTCTCTTGCAGTGTCCCCCTTTTTTTTTGTATTTGACTGGCCCGTTTTCCCTTATTTCCCATTCTCCCCCTCCCCTTTATTCTACCTTTCTTCTATACCTCACTGATAAAAAAAATTGCCCCCAATGTGCGGCGTTTCTGGTTGTTTTTGTTGGGACGTTTCGCCTCCAGTGGCTGGCCCCTGGATGGGAAACGTTCTACGGTGGGGTTGCCGGGTGTTGGGCTGTGAATTTCATCCTGTCGGTTTAATACAATTTCTTGTACTTACTACTACTACTATTTCTCCCCACTACTACTACCTCCACCTTTCCCCTCCAAATATATCCCGTTCTGCCCTCCTTGTTAGTGTGAGTTTGTCAATGGTCCAAGTCGGCCCCAAAAAACTCGTGTAAGCTTCTGTCTTTTATGTGCGGGTTATTTGGTATGGACCAGAAAACCTAATATGTGTCAGAACAAAGATTGGCTATGAATCACAAAAAATTTACTTTAAATGTAATTTTTTTTTTTCAAACACCCCGGGCCCTTTAATCCCCACCGAGGTGGGGGGCCCAAAAAAAAAAAAACAAAAGTTTTCCTTTTACATTTAGTAATGTATACAGGGAAGGAGGGTTACTGGGCCCCTTGCTCTGGCTTTTAGTTGGCTCTCTTACAACAGCATGGCTTATGGAGGGAAGAATTCTTTTTCCAAACTTCCCATGGGGGTTTAAGGAAAAATAACGAAAAGAATAGTAGGAAAATAGAAGAAAACCCACAGAGGGTGTTATATAAAATTTGCTTGCATGTATGTGTAGTGTGACCTAAGTGTAAGTGAAGAGGGTAGGAAGCGGGGGTACTGAACCTTGCATTTTTTAGGGAAGACGGGGAGAAAAAGGACACGAAAAATCCTACATCATGGTAAAACAATTAAGGCTTTTGTTTTAACCACTTGGCGGCGGTAGTACTCCTGAGCGGGTTGCTGTTTTCCAACAAACTACTGGGAATGTAATTATGTTAATTTGTATGTAATTATCAGTCATAAAAATTATTTCAAATAATATAAAAACGGGGAAAAAAGAGTATTCAGACCCTTGGGAAGTGCAGGGACTCCTTGTTGCTGTTCAGGTTGATATCCGAACAAACTTTGTGGCCTGATAGTTGGTAATTATGGTCCTAAAAATTTTTTTTTTGGTCTTTACACACAGAAAATTCCCCTTTTTTAAAATTAAAAAAAAAAAATTCCAAAATATTGGGGAGCAACTGGACAACGTAGTTTCAAAGTTTGGGAAGTTAAAGGGTTTAATTTGCAGGATGGTTACTCAAAAAAATCATTTTCCAAAAATCTTATTTATTTTAAAAAAAAAAAAAATTATTGTAACCCTTAAATTTAGAAATAATTGCAAAACCTGAAAAAAAAAAAAAAATTCAAACTTACCAATCGGGTCTTCAAAGCCAAATCAGAAGTAAGAGTTTCTACCTTCTCCCGTTGTCCATCCAGCATTGCTTGAAGGTGGTCCACTGAAGCCCAGCAATTCAAAATATAATTATACTTCACAAGATAAAACTTCACTGAATGAAATATAGAAAAATTAGGCAAAGTATCAAAAATCCCAAAACAACATGAAGTACATAAAAAAACATTTTCTACCACCCTCCCATCTCTAAGTAAAAGTTCTCAACTATATGCAACATGCATTTACCATGTTATCAGTGTGGTTCACAAAAAACCACTACAGATTCTTATTAGGTGGAAATTCAGTGTTTGCTGAAACTACCTCAACTTAGTACAAGTTGGCATGGGTGTGGAATTTATCTACTGTACTTCTGAAAAAAAATGAGACTTTTTTTATAACTTACCTGGAAAGTTGAAGTATCCTTTGTTGTAGATAACATTTCTGACAGCATTTTATGGGATTTCCAAACCATTAGAGGTCGCTTCTCAAAATTTTATGCTCAAGCGAACTATCCTCTCTTCTACTGTGGGTTTCTCATTATCTATTCACTCTGGTAAGTAATTATCAAATTACTTACAAAAGGCTGGTACATTAAATTCTTTATTTTTTATTAGCAGAAAACAAAAAAAGGCAAACCCAACAAATCTTGGGCTTCTAAATTTTTTTAAAAAAACAATATTTCATAGCTAAATGAATTCAATTATAATTATACAAATATTTTACTTATTAAGAAATGTAAACTACAGCAAACTAAATTTCTGGAGTTTACCAAAAAAATATGTATTAAAATTTCCAAAATTATTCGAGATTAATTATCTACTATGTTAGTATTTTTTCAATTGATAAATTCTTAATTAAAATATCCTAGGCAAACAATATATATAATGTCTTCACTACAATAGTACATGCTGTGACAAATGTTAATTAAAACTGTTACGAATAATATATCTTTACAGAGTAGTACTTAAAAAGGGAAAAGGTTAAACAATGAAAAAGCTTTACGTACATTAAAATGAATTCAATACATAAATGGTGTTTACTCCTGCAATCTAGACACAATGATCTCTTGAGAATAGCTATTACACTATTATGTTTAAAACAACCTCAAACCACAAAAAAATATTAAACCTAAAAACCACAAAGGAAGTTATGAATACACGACTAATGTAAGAGTACTGACTGGCAGCTGAGAGCTGTGTTCTCCAAGCATTTCTTCCTGCCACAAAGGCAGTTGTTGTTCTTTGAGATAATGATTTATTGTTTGCTCATGCTGGCTTGACCCACACACCCAACAATATCCAAACAATGTTTGGAATATAATAAAGAAAATACAAACAAATATTTTAACATCTAAAACCCACCCCATAAAATGTACGTAATTATAATCTAAATATGGTTTTTCAAAAATTAGGAAAAAATTAAATTCCTGATGAACATTTAAACAAATCCATCTTCCACGAGGCCAGGGTGACCCAAAAAGAAAATACTTTAATCATCATTCAACACTTTCACTTCACTCACACATAATCACTGTTTTTGCAGAGGTGCTCAGAATACAAACAGTTTAGAAGCATATATGTATAAAGATTACACAACATATCCCTCCAAACTGCCAATATCCCAAACCCCTCCTTTAACCCTTAAATGGTCCAAACGTATATATACGTTTTTTTTCAACATCTGAAAGTATGTAAAAAAATGTAGATCTTTTCTCTTTTACATTTGAAAACGTTTAAAAAAACTTTTGTCTACATTTTTTTTTTTGTTTTATTTGAAAATATGTAAAAAAAAAGTAAGATCTACTTTTGTAGTACTACGAATTTGAAAGTAGATCTGTTTGGGACCGTTTAAGGGTTAAAGTGCAGGCATTGTACTTCCCATTTCCAGGACTCAAGTCCAGCTATATAAAAATAATAGGTTTCCCTGAATCCTTTCACTAAATATTACCCTGCTCGCACTCCAACAGCTCGTCAGGTCCCAAATTACCATTTCGTCTCCATTTCACTCCAATCTAACATACTCACGCATGCTTGCTGGGTCCAAGCCCCTCGCCCACAAAACCTCCTCTACCTCCTCCCTCCAACCTTTTCGAGGACGACCCCTACCCCTCCTTCCTTCCCCTACAGATTTATATGCTCTCCATGTCATTCTACCTTGGTCATTCTCTCTAAATGACCAAACCACCTCAACAACCCCTCATCAGCCCTCTGACTAATACTTTTATAAACTCCACACCTCTTAATTTCCACACTCCGAATTTTCTGCATAATATTTTACACCACACATTGCCTTAAACAGGACATCTCCACTGCCTCCAACCGCCTCCTCACTGCAGCATTTACAACCCAAGCTTCACACCCATATAAGTGTTGGTACTACTATACTTTCATACATTCCCTTCTTTGCCTCCATAGATTTTTTTTGTCTCAACATATACCTCAATGCACCACTTGCCTTTTTTCCCTCATCAGTTTTATGATTAACCTCATCCTTCATAAATCCATCCGCTGACACATCAACTCCCAAATATCTGAAAACATTCACTTCTTCCATACTCCTCCTCTCCAATTTGATATCCAATTTTTCTTTATCTAAACCATTTGACACCCTCACCACCTTACTCTTTTCTATGTTCACTTTCAACTTTCTACCTTTACACACACTCCCAAAACTCTTCCACTAACCTTTGCAATTTTTCTTTAGAATCTCTCATAAGCACAGTATCACCAGCAAAAAGTAACTGTGTCAATTCCCATTTTGTATTTGATTCCCCATAATTTAATCCCACCCCTCTCCCGAACACCCTAGCATTTACTTCTTTTACAACCCCATCTATAAATATATTAAACAACCATGGTGACATTACACATCCCTGTCTAAGACCTGCTTTTACCGGGAAGTAATCTCCCTCTCTTCTACACACCCTAACCTGAGCCTCACTATCCTCATAAAAACTCTTTACAGCATTTAGTAACTTACCACCTATTCCTTATACTTGCAACATCTGCCACATTGCTCCCCTATAATGTGAGTAATATAATGTGAGTAATGTAATGTAAGTAAAATACAAAATCTAACCTTAATTAATTCAATCTGAGAATCAAGTTCAGTAATATCTCCAGGTGATGCCATGACACTGGATGACACTGCCTCCAACTGAATATAAAAATGTGAAAAAAAGATATAAAACAAAAGAGTGATGCATAAACAAATTAAAAATAAAATGCAGTACACATAACAATGAGAGTAAATAAAAACATGAAGAATGCTGAAATCATAAATTTAATCATAAGATGTACTTTTGTGGTTAGAGAAAAATGACAGCTGCGAATCCTCTAGTATGAGTTTTTTTTTTTTTTTTTCAACAAGTTGGCCATCTCGCACCGAGGCAGGGTGACCCAAAAAAGAAAGAAAATCCCCAAAAAGAAAATGCTTTCATCATCATTCAACACTTTCACCACACTCACACACAATCACTGTTTTTTCAGAGGCGTCAGAAAAAACAGTTCAGAAGCATAAGTATAAAGATACACAACATATCCCCAAACTGCCAATACCCAAACCCTCCTTTA